TGAAAATCCAAGGGGCCTTGGAAATGGCTTCCGGAAAAGGAGCACGTACTGCAAAGTCGACGATTTTGGTGCTTTTGTGGGGTTCCCCCCATTTCGAACCTTGGAAGCCGGAAATCCGTGAAAATCCAAGGGGCCTTGGAAATGGCCTCCGGAAAAGGAGCACGTACTGCAAAATCGACGATTTTGGTGCTTTTGTGGGGTTCCCCCCATTTCGGGCCTTGGAAGCCGGAAATCCGTGAAAATCCAAGGGGCCTTGGAAATGGCCTCCGGAAAAGGAGCGGGTCCTGCAAAATCGACGATTTTGGTGCTTTTGTGGGGTTCCCCCCATTTCGGGCCTTGGAAGCCGGAAATCCGTGAAAATCCGAGGGGCCTTGGAAATGGCTTCCGGAAAAGGAGCACGTTCTGCAAAGTCGACGATTTTGGTGCTTTTGTGGGGTTTCCCCCCATTTCGGGCTTTGGAAGCAGGAAATCCGTGAAAATCCGAGGGGCCTTGAAAATGGCTTCCGGAAAAGGAGCACGTACTGCAAAATCGACGATTTTGGTGCTTTTGCGGTGTTTCCCCCCTTCCGGGCCTTGGAAGCCGGAAATCCGTGAAAATCCAAGGGGCCTTGGAAATGGCCTCCGGAAAAGGAGCGGGTATTGCAAAATCGTCGATTTTGGGGCTTTTGTGGGGTTCCCCCCATTTCGGGCCTTGGAAGCCGGAAATCCGTGAAAATCCGAGGGGCCTTGGAAATGGCTTCCGGAAAAGGAGCACGTACTGCAAAATCGACGATTTTGGTGCTTTTGTGGGGTTTCCCCCCATTTCGGGCCTTGGAAGCCGGAAATCCCTGACAATCCGAAGGGCCTTGGAAATGGTTTCCGGAAAAGGCGCGGGCACCGCAAAATCGACGATTTTGGTGCTTTTGTGGGGTTCCCCCATTTCGGGCCTTGGAAACCGGAAATCCCTGACAATCCGAAGGGCTTTGGAAATGGCCTCCGGAAAAGGCGCGGGCACCGCAAAATCGACGATTTTTGTGCTTTTGTGGGGTTTCCTCCATTTCGGGCTTTGGAAGCCGGAAATTGCTGAGAATCCGAGGGGCCTTGGAAATGGCTTCCGGAAAAGATGCGGATGGTTTGAAATGAGTTTAGTCCCTAAACCCTAAAAAGAATAGGGTTGGGTGGTTGTGCCGCCTCATGAACGGCGCGGGGTGGGAAAAAGGAATCGGGCCGCCATAAGCCGGCCGAAGAGCAGCCTTCGCTGCAAGCACGCCGTCCACCGCAAGACCCACACAAGCACTGACGGCTTACCCGTCCCCGGAAACCAAACAACTTCCGTGAAAAAGCGCGAAACCCCAAACCCTAAACCCTAAACCCCTCAGGGGGCGCAGGCCGGTGGGCCTTGACGGCCCACCGCTGCGGCCTCCCCTGCCTTTTCGGCGTTTGAAGGCATCGCCACATGCAATATGCCTAAACAGCGCTTCTACTGTCTCACCAAAGTGTATGCCGTGCCACCGCTAAGCATTGGGTCGTCGGCAGTACTGCCCTATGTATACTTTATACCCCAAAACCTGTGGTGGCGCCAAAAAACCTGAACTCAAAATCCTAAAGCTTTAGTGTTTAGGAATAGGGTTTAGGGCCTAAATCCTAAAGCTTTAGTGTTTAGGAGCATTTTTGGCAATGTAAAGCTTTAGTGTTTAGGAATAGGGTTTAGCACTAAATCCTAAAGCTTTAGTGTTTACGAATAGGGTGTAGTGCTAAATCCTAAAGCTTTAGTGTTTAGGAATAGGGTTTAGCGCTAAATCCTAAAGCTTTATTGTTTAGGAATAGGGTTTGGCACTAAATCCTAAAGCTTTAGTGTTTAGGAATAGGGTTTAGCGCTAAATCCTAAAGCTTTAGTGTTTAGGAATAGGGTTTAGCGCTAAATCCTAAAGCTTTAGTGTTTAGGAATAGGGTTTGGCGGCTGCATTCTGGAAAATCGGAGGCAGATTTTGGAGTGATAAATTCTGTTCATAAAAAGTGCATTTTAATTAGGGCAGGGGCCGATCTTAAGGTTCCGCCCATTCTGGTGCCTAAATCCTAAAGAATTGCGCTAAATCCTAAAGCTTTAGTGTTTAGGAATAGGGTTTAGCGCTAAATCCTAAAGCTTTAGTGTTGAGGAATAGGGTTTAGCGCTAAATCCTAAAGCTTTAGTGTTTAGGAATAGGGTTTAGCGCTAAATCCTAAAGCTTTAGTGTTTAGGAATAGGGTTTAGCGCTAAATCTTAAGGCTTTAGTGTTTAGGGATAGGGTGTAGCGCTAAATCCTAAAGCTTTAGTGTTTAGGAACAGGGTTTAGCGCTAAATCCTAAAGCTTTAGTGTTTAGGAATAGGGTTTAGCGCTAAATCCTAAAGCTTTAGTGTTTAGGAATAGGGTTTAAAGCTAAATCCTAAAGCTTTATTGTTTAGGAATAGGGTTTGGCACTAAATCCTAAAGCTTTAGTGTTTAGGAATAGGGTTTAGCGCTAAATCCTAAAGCTTTAGTGTTTAGGAATAGGGTTTGGCGGCTGATTTTTCGAAAATCGGAGGCAGATTTTGGAGTGATAAATTCTGTTCATAAAATGTGCATTTTAATTAGGGCAGGGGCCGATCTTGGGGTTCTGCCCATTCTGGTGCTTAAATCCTAAAGAATTGCGCTAAATCCTAAAGCTTTAGTGTTTAGGAATAGGGTTTAGCGCTAAATCCTAAAGCTTTAGTGTTTAGGAATAGGGTTTAGCGCTAAATCCTAAAACTTTAGTGTTTAGGAATAGGGTTTAGCGCTAAATCCTAAAGCTTTAGTGTTTAGGAATAGGGTTTAGCGCTAAATCCTAAAGCTTTAGTGTTTAGGATAGGGTTGAGCGCTAAATCCTAAAGCTTTAGTGTTTAGGAATAGGGTTTAGCGCTAAATCCTAAAGCTTTAGTGTTTAGGAATAGGGTTTAGCGCTAAATCCTAAAGCTTTAGTGTTTAGGAATAGGGTTTAGCGCTAAATCCTAAAGCTTTAGTGTTTAGGAATAGGGTTTGGCGGCTGATTTCTGGAAAATCGGAGGCAGATTTTGGAGTGATAAATTCTGTTCATAAAATGTGCATTTTAATTAGGGCAGGGGCCGATCTTGGGGTTCCGCCCATTCTGGTGCCTAAATCCTAAAGAATTGCGCTAAATCCTAAAGCTTTAGTGTTTAGGAATAGGGTTTAGCGCTAAATCCTAAAGCTTTAGTGTTTAGGAATAGGGTTTAGCGCTAAATCCTAAAGCTTTAGTGTTTAGGAATAGGGTTTAGCGCTAAATCCTAAAGCTTTAGTGTTTAGGAATAGGGTTTAGCGCTAAATCCTAAAGCTTTAGTGTTTAGGAATAGGGTTTAGCGCTAAATCCTAAAGCTTTAGTGTTTAGGAATAGGGTTTAGCGCTAAATCCTAAAGCTTTAGTGTTTAAGAATAGGGTTTAGCGCTAACTCCTAAAGCTTTAGTGTTTAGGAATAAGGTTTAGCGCTAAATCCTAAAGCTTTAGTGTTTAGGAATAGGGTTTAGCGCTAAATCCTAAAGCTTTAGTGTTTAGGAATAGGGTTTGGCGGCTGATTTTTCGAAAATCGGAGGCAGATTTTGGAGTGATAAATTCTGTTCATAAACTGTGCATTTTAATTAGGGCAGGGGCCGATCTTGGGGTTCCGCCCATTCTGGTCCCTAAATCCTAAAGAATTGCGCTAAATCCTAAAGCTTTAGTGTTTAGGAATAGGGTTTAGCGCTAAATCCTAAAGCTTTAGTGTTTAGGAATAGGGTTTAGCGCTAAATCCTGAAGCTTTAGTGTTTAGGAATAGGGTTTAGCGCTAAATCCTAAAGCTTTAGTGTTTAGGAATAGGGTTTAGCGCTGAATCCTAAAGCTTTAGTGTTTAGGAATAGGGTGTAGCGCTGAATCCTAAAGCTTTAGTGTTTAGGAATAGGGTTTAGCGCTAAATCCTAAATCTTTAGTGTTTAGGAATAGGGTTTAGCGCTAACCTGTGAATCCAAAACCCTTCCGTTTTGGGGGTCGTTTCGAATTTACCTGGTTCTGTAGTATCTGACCCACTAAAACTAGGTAAACTGCATCTGACCCACTAAAAGTAGGCAAAGTGCCAACTTACCCTTTAACTAATATTTAGAGCTGCAGGAAGCCCTAGCAAGGGCCCACTTCGCCTTGATGGAAGCCTAGATATAATCAAAATCCCCCGAGAAGTAGTGAACCTTAAATCCTTTAAATCCAACAGGCCGATGCACATGCTCAGGCTGGCCTGTCGCTGCCTCTTTCAGCCGCAGCAAGAGCGACTTTTCGCAAGTATACAGATATGCACGTATGTAGTGTGTGCATGTATATGTATGTACATGTGTATATATACAGAAAGATCGAGATAGGGACATATTGGTTGCATGTATATATTTATACATATACAACTTAATTAAGATATGCTGTATAGTTGTACCACAACCGTACATGTGCATATGTATCTACACTGCATACAGTAGAAGCCCAAAAGTTGGAAACCCCAGAGCCTCCATCTTTAAGAGTAATGTCTAGGGAATCCCAGCACTATTTAACCTTAATCGGGTTTCCAACTTTATGGGATTTACTGTATATATATATACATAGACACAGATGGCATATCCTGGTGTACACCATATGCACCTATAGATACACATACCTCTCCCTATATAGAGTCTGCATGTGTGTGACTGCCTTCATACAGATGTAGATGCGCTCTTACTTTACATCTATATAGTTCCTGTGCGAAGGATGTCAGATTATGCTGGGGGTCCCGGCATTTACAAAGTAGACAAACGCTGTGGCGTAATTAGATTTACAAGCCTGCATGGTTGCATGGAGACGGCCCTTTTCTTTCTGGCCGGGGTCTGAGCTTCCGCAGCTGGCCTGTGCACAGGAATTATAGGAGGCAATGGAGATGTGTTTGAAGCTAAACCTGATGCTATTTCGAAGGCTCGAAGATCTTAGCAAGGTTTCCAGCTGTTTTCTGGGCGTGTGACAATGCCCAAATGTGGACTTAAGCTCGATGGTGTTGTGGCTGAGTGGGGCGTTGCACTCGGGCTTGTTACACGCCTTACCAAGACCGGTCGACTGATCGAGGCTCCTGAAGGCTTTGAGCTTAAGCCTGGCAACAAAGTCGTTGCCCACAACCATGAGATTCTCAGACCTGTGTTGACTCGGATGGCTGAGCATGCGGACTGGGAGCTGTTTTCTCTTCCAGAGGTGAAGAAGAAGTGCCCTGCAAGCAACTAGCTAAGCGTGTATATACATGCTGTTGACCATGGAAAGTACTAGGCGCATTATCCTCCTGGGCAAAGTAGGTTCGCAATCCAATTTACAACGGGTCTGCAATTAAGGCTGACGGCTTTGCGACGTTCCTTCGGCATCAAGATCGACAAGGATGCGATTCACATGGATGGCTTGTGGACTAAGAACTTCGCTTCCTTTGTGAAGATGAAAGTTCGCAAAGGGATGGCATCCCTCGAGCTTTGGCAGCCTTTATATACTGCAAAGGCTTATATTGTGAATGCACACACCCATGCATGAGCGCCATCTCTAGGTACGTGCTTTTTATACTGCATACATATATACCTACATAAACATATATCACACACATACATGCACGTGTATATGTTCGCATATGTCTTTTTAGACATGCATGCACATATATGCACATATATATATATATGTATACTAATATACACATACCACGATTGTGGCAGGCTAATATTGGCATACACACACTTTGATTACAATTAGGACTGTTGGCCCATCATGGCTCATCTAGGCGACGGTCCACAGGCATATACACGCACGTCTCTGTAACTATATGTATACCCCTTCTCTCTCTCTCTCTCTCTCTATATATATATGTATATTTACATACATATAACGATGAAGTATCAATTAGTATGTATATATATAGACAATTGAATTAGTGGTGTACTTTTACTTTGACAACGAACCATCATACCAGGCTTCCTGCAGTTCGCGAACAGCCAAGATGAAGTTTCAAATGCATATACATGCACCTTAGGAGGCAGGTACACTCAGAGTGGAGTGAGGCTTTCAATGGCACAGGTCGAATCACTACGGGGTACATATAACATGTATTTATAGATGTATATACGTGCAGGTATATCGACAGCTGTATATCTGCACATATATATATATATATATAATGCACACATAAACTTCATAGAGGTATACACCTACTCATATACATACATGTAGGTATATATATATACATACACACATATGTTACATGTCGTCCAGATCAACCTTAACTCCCTTTCTCAAAGTTAAACAAACCGACACACCGCCCAGGATGACACTTTCTATAGCCTCCAACTGATCTTGGACCCCGAGTTGCCTCCTGCTCTGCGACGCTCTGGCAGTCGCGAGGCCCACCTTTCAGTGGCATACAGGGAAATTTCCTTTGCACAAAGGCTTAAATGGGTATAAGTATTCGACTCCTATTGTGCCTGTAGTGCAAACTTGAAGAATATGGACAAACTTGTGCATACACTTATATCCATCACAGACTTTATATGCAATCATGATACTCTATATACATACATATATACACACACATACACATCATAACTCCTCAGTAAATTCAAACGTGTCTTCATTCATTGGCAGGACAGTCCCGAAGAAGATCCTGGAGATGAAGACATGGATGCAGATGACGACGATGATGATGACGAGGATGGTGCTGACGGCGAGCCGGCAGCGGAGGGATCGGGCCATCCAGCTGAGCCAAGTGAATATGGCCCTGACATGGAGGTCGAGGATGTAGGCTCCGTAGAAGAGTTGGACGGTGACGCTTGCAGCGAGGCTGACGGAAGCCATGAGATCGTGCCTCTGAACGACAGTCATATGGGAGCAAGGGCCCCCTCGCGCAAGGCAATTGCCATTGCCTTGAGTGATGAGGAGGAGGCCACCGCAGCAGGTGCAGCTGAGGATCGTGTCCACGAGTTCAACGCCAATCTGGTACGATTGCCACGCTTGCAGGAGTTGAAGGATCAGATGGAGTCAACACGCCGAGAGCTGGAGAGCAAGATGCTCGACTAGCAAATATATGGGTTCATTAGTATATATATATATATATATATAGACTTCAAGTAGAATCAATGTTTTCGAGCATATAGAAAGCCATAACTGTAGTATTTCTGAGCCTTTTGACCCGTGATATGTATGAACACCCCCCACACACATACATGTGTGTATATGTCTGTGTAGATTTCTGTTAGTCTGTATGCATCTGTATATACCTATATAATCTACACATAGTTATACATATATATAAAGATATGTATATGACATGAACATGCACATTTAAATATATTTACATACACACGTGTGCATGTATCAACCTAGCTTCTCTATATGTTTCTGAAGTGTATGCTGCATGTTTTAGTTGCATGTGCGTGTATGGGGCAACCACATGTCGGTCTACAACAGATACACCTACAACTCAACAGGTTTGCCGTGGAAGATTCTGCTGCCCAGGAAGACACCATCCCCTTCGCCTACAAGTGCTCCAGCTGTGGCCATTCCAGGCCAGCACATCGCATAGCGTTAACTGCATGAGATTTATGATAGAATTTGTACACATATATATAATTTATTTAAATAAAGGTTGTAAGGGATGCATGGGTGCAGAATCAGTTTAGAATAAGTTAAGTCTTGTTTTTATGCATGCTTTGCCACACACACGCACATCTAAATTCACATACCTTGGCATACATGCACACACACACACAAACACACCTAATACATTCATATAAGCCATGCTACCTAACTTCACACGAACATGCAGACATTTGCAAATGCTGTATAAATATACATGCACATAGACGTGTCTGCATGCATGCAAGTACGTATGCATGTTTGTATCCATGCATATACTAGTATGTTGCGAAACCAGTACCGTTTGCTAGGACTTCCGGCCGGACCTGTGCTGGACACCGATGATACCTTTGTGCCCAACGAATCGCAGCTTGTTCAGCCTGAGAAGCCTCTGCAGAGGGTGCTTTTTCCAGTGGAGGTTGAGGAATCCCCCGAAGCTTTCCGGGTGCCACGTGGCTTGCCTTCGAAGCCGCATCCGCATGACCCGGCAAGGACGGTTTACAAAGTTCCAATGCTTCCGCCTCATTTGGACCCTCACGACAAGCCTTTGGCTGATGATGACCGTCATGATGGCAGGCATGTTGCTGCTCCTTTGCGTGACTCTACAATCGGAGCAAAGGTTGCAAAGAGGAAGCTTGCCCCCTCGGTGACAGCATTGAAACGCATGAAGCTTGCGCAGGCAGCTGAGGCAGCTGAAGACCTGCGAGCTGCCGGGGGTGGCGGTGAGCATGAGGCTGATGGAGCTGCATCTGAGGAGTCTCCCCATTGGACGCCTGTGCGATCCAAGGAAGATCGTGCAGCCAGGCCAGGGCTACTGATTTTCCCAGTCACCTCTCCTGCAGGAGATGCTTCAGCTGGCTCAGAACCCAAGGCGCCTGATCATGATCATGTCCACACTCGCAGGGAGCAGCTGAAGTTGCAACCCGCGCCAAAGGCCAAAGGTAAAGCCAAGGCCAAGGCGAAGGCAAAGGCCTCCGCCAGGGCTCCGAGTCCTCACGAGAATTCCGCAGAGCCTTCGATGCCTTCGAGTGCAGATGCAGGTCGAGGTGCACGGCCTTCGGTGTCAGAGGAGGGCAGCGATGGCAAAGCCAAAGGCAAAGGGCCATCAGGAGGCCGTGGCAGAGGCAAGGGCGGCCGGGGCCGAGGCGGCCGTGGCGGCCGTGGCAAAGGCAAAGGGCCCTCAGAGTCAGGCCATGAGGGAGGCAAAGGTGGGGCTGAGGGCGCCGATCTGGAGCCCGAGAATCGCAAAGGCAAGGGCAAGGGCAAGAAGGGCAGTACGGGTGCCAGTACAAGGGTGACGCCATCGGAGGTCATGGATGTTCTGCAGGAGGACGACCTGATGATGCGGATGACCCTTGAGTTGAAGGATGCCATGAACTTGCCTCCGGAGGAGATCCCCAGCATCGAGGATCAGAGGAAGGTCAAGCGCTATGAGCACTGGAGACTGAGTATGTACTGGACCCGCAACACAGTTGGTGTTCTCAGGCTCCATGGACCACGGACTCAGCCGACCTACTGCGGGACCCTGGCCGCGGGAGGGTCCGACAACATCGCGGTGGCACAAGAAGCTGCGGATCAGTTTGTTGCTTGTCAAGAAACCAATTATGTTTCCAATTGGTTCTCTGTGTGTCAGAGTAAGCCAGTGATCGAGTTCATGATTGTGTTTGTGTGCATGCATGTAGCCTTACCCACCCCGTTCCGGCAGCACAACATAACAACATAACTCGAACCTTAAGTACCTTATTTCACTTCACTCCTACAGAACTGTTTCAGGTTAACTAGTATTGGACTGGGCCTTTCAAGACGGCGGATTTAAGATAAGACCTGCATTAGTATAACCTGAGTTACATAGACCCTGCCATGTACACAGAATAATGGGTGATCTATATACGTGCTCCTATATCAGTGTCTGTATGCATGTACACCATGTGTGCCTGCAATAATTGTACTGACTGTGTACTGCATGGAGAGCTGCATAAATACCCCGGAATATACCCCGGCACAATAGGCACACAGACACACACACACACACAATTGAAGCCACATGTGCATACAAAGCATTTAAAGAAATTTGTGGGTCACGATCTTTGTTGCATGCATATGCTCATGTGATATAATATAATATAATATAATATAATATAATATAATATATATATATATATATGTAACTGTATATATATATATATATATATATATATATATGTACATATGCACACATATATACATATAGTTATCTACATATATGCTTGTGTACATATACATTTATACATATATGTCCGTGTATCTACACATACACCCAAACATATACAACGATACACACATACATCCACACTGACATACATGTGCATACATGTGTAAATACATATACATGCATATCTATATCTATATCTATATCTATATATATATATATATATTGGGAAACCCTGGGAATGCTTAAGACTGCAGCATTTCCTGGTGCAAAACCTGTTTGGGTATCTGTTCCCGGAGCCTTCAAAAAGTGGTGCGAAACCTGTTTGGGAAACTGCCCGCCGACTCCTGAAACGCTGCTCCCAAGGCTATGAAAAGTGGTGCGAAACCTGTTTGGGAAATTGCCCAAAAGTGGTGCGAAAGCTGTTTTGGAATCGTTTGGTTGACTCAGTTGGCCTTGATACTTGCCTTGATATCATTGAACTGATGTTTGAAACCTTACCTTCTTCGGGGGCGGGAGGGAAAGAGGGAGGGAGGGACGCAGAGAGGGCACCAAGGAGCAACGAATGGCCTTCCATGCATGCCGGGGACTTTTTGCGGGGACGAAAGCTGGTGCCCAACCCGAGCTATCCCCCAGCCGGCTTTCATCAATCCCTTCCCTGGATTGGTTAGCCTCAAGGGTCTCAGCCGAACCGTGGCAAGCGGCCGGTCCCCGACAGTCCCATGACCGTCAGTGCTGAGAATGCTTGTGGCCTGGATGCCGAACAGTTCCGAATCGGTTCCGAACAGTTCCGAACAGTTTTGAATGGTTTCCCGAACAGTTCTCGAACGATTCCTGAAGGATTGCTGCAGGGTGTGCTATATATAGGTGTGCCCAAGACAAGGCCCGCTGCTGGGAATGCTTGTGGCCTGGATGCCGAACAGTTCCGAATCGGTTCCGAACAGTTCCGAACAGTTTTGAATGGTTTCCCGAACAGTTCTCGAACGATTCCTGAAGGATTGCTGCAGGGTGTGCTATATATAGGTGTGCCCAAGACAAGGCCCGCTGCTGGGAATGCTTGTGGCCTGGATGCCGAACAGTTCCGAATCGGTTCCGAACAGTTCCGAACAGTTTTGAATGGTTTCCCGAACAGTTCTCGAACGATTCCTGAAGGATTGCTGCAGGGTGTGCTATATATAGGTGTGCCCAAGACAAGGCCCGCTGCTGGGAATGCTTGTGGCCTGGATGCCGAACAGTTCCGAATCGGTTCCGAACAGTTCCGAACAGTTTTGAATGGTTTCCCGAACAGTTCTCGAACGATTCCTGAAGGATTGCTGCAGGGTGTGCTATATATAGGTGTGCCCAAGACAAGGCCCGCTGCTGGGAATGCTTGTGGCCTGGATGCCGAACAGTTCCGAATCGGTTCCGAACAGTTCCGAACAGTTTTGAATGGTTTCCCGAACAGTTCCCGAACGATTCCTGAAGGATTGCTGCAGGGTGTGCTATATATAGGTGTGCCCAAGACAAGGCCCGCTGCTGGGAATGCTTGTGGCCTGGATGCCGAACAGTTCCGAATCGGTTCCGAACAGTTCCGAACCATTCCCGAGCAGTTCCGAACCAGTTTCGAACCGCCCCCGGAGACCGGACCCCAAGCCCCCTCAACCCCTCGCCCCCCACCTCCCAACCCGCCCCACAACTTGGCCGTCCCAGGACGGAATTGGTTCGAAACTGCTCGGAACCGATTCGGAACTGTTCGGCATCCAGGCCACAAGCATTCCCAGCAGCGGGCCTTGTCTTGGGCACACCTATATATAGCACACCCTGCAGCAATCCTTCAGGAATCGTTCGGGAACTGTTCGGGAAACCATTCAAAACTGTTCGGAACTGTTCGGAACCGATTCGGAACTGTTCGGCATCCAGGCCACAAGCATTCCCAGCAGCGGGCCTTGTCTTGGGCACACCTATATATAGCACACCCTGCAGCAATCCTTCAGGAATCGTTCGAGAACTGTTCGGGAAACCATTCAAAACTGTTCGGAACTGTTCGGAACCGATTCGGAACTGTTCGGCATCCAGGCCACAAGCATTCCCAGCAGCGGGCCTTGTCTTGGGCACACCTATATATAGCACACCCTGCAGCAATCCTTCAGGAATCGTTCGGGAACTGTTCGGAACTGTTCGGAACCGATTCGGAACTGTTCGGCATCCAGGCCACAAGCATTCCCAGCACCAGTGGGCATTGTCTTGGGCACACCTATATTGCGTATACTGTACTACTGTATATAGCACACTTGCAGGAATTCTTCAAGAATCATTCGGGAACTGTTCGGGAAACCGTTTGAAACCGTTCGGAACTGTTCGCGCAGCACACTCGCAGAACTTCCAAACGGCATTGTTTAGGAAACGTGACGCTAAATTCAGCGCACCTCGACTACATGCTGTGTTTCAAGCACAAAACAAGCCCCTTGCCCTGATGTTAAACTACACTTCTCATTCATAAACGTGTTCTCAAAAAGCCTCGGAATGCTTCAGACTATATATTACGCACAATTCTACACTAACCTCTCTGACATAGATCTATTCCCGAAAAAGCTTCGGAATGCTTAAGACTATATTTGGGGACTATTTGACACAAACCCTTCCCGACATAGAACTAGTCCCAAATAAGCCTCGGAATGCTTAAGACTACAGCCCTCCAAAACCCCAAACTACTTTTGCACCAGGTTTTGGCTCCCCCGGACCCCACTTCGCTAAATCCTATCTTAAGCATTCCGAGGGCTTCCCAATATATATACATATACATATATGTACGCATACATAGTACAGTGGTACATCGACCTTCATGAACACATATATAAAATAATACTTGTACACGCACACATACGCAACATGCAGCTAGTACGCATATGTGTGTATGTATGTATATATATATATATACACATAAAGCCTTATAAGTATGCACCTAGGTAAATACATGAAATATACATACAATTATATATACAGAGAGAGACAGCTATAGACATTTGATATGTATCTTGCCGCATGGGGCTTACATACATACTACGTGCGGTGTGACATTACGTAAGAGATACACTCTATATATTCTGTACATATACATGTATATATACAGATACACACTCATACATATAGACGCAAACTCACGTATCCATCTTCTCGGGCTTTGTGCAACCACAAACTTAAGTACATCTATGTAGGACATAAGACCTAAATAAGCTTTTACGGAACATATACCCTGCTGCTCAGATTACTTGGATGGGCGGAGACAGCTCGGAGCTTCGGTATGCTCTGACATCGACTGATGCTTCAACCATGCGTCGCATGCTGGGTGATGCAGCAAAGTACGCTAAGATCTTGAAGAACCACGAGGATGCCGGAGGCAGCCTTGGAGATCTGTGAGCCGACAGCGAAGCTGGCGACGAAGAATTTTGCACGCCTCGGACGGGGCCCCTTTAAGATTCAGGATGGATCCATATAGCATCAGTGGTTGCCAGCATAGGTTCCATAAAGTAGCTTTCAGAATCCAGTGGGCTTTGTTTGTGCATTGAGCACAGTTGTGGCATCGACTCAGGCTTTAAACTGGTGTGTTTCTAAGTATCTTAATGAAGCAAACTCAAACGCCTGGATTATAATTTAACATCATCGTGAACTGTTGATTGGGGTTTCTCCGAGGCATTCCGAGCAGCCGCGATACACGTCTTAGACCTCCCTCAGGGAGTGCTGTTCAAGATGCTGCCTAGGTTCAGGCCGTATGGACCTTCGAGGAGGTTCATGTGGGGTGCCGCATCACAGCCATGTAGGGACCCTGAAGTGTGTCTGCGCAGCTCAATTTAAAGCTGTTCCGAGGATCATGATGCCTGTGCCTCTCGCAAGCAGAGTTGCCAGAAAAAGGCTTTTGCATGTGTCAGGTCGATCAGTTCCAAATCCTGCATGTGCCTATGCTTGTGTCATCGATAGTGCTGTCGTTCACAGAAGCATGCTGCTTGGCACAATCTATCAAGCCTGATAACTCTGAAATGGTCACCTCCAAGAAACATCGCTACATTAATTGAAATCCAGATTGAACCGTGCGCAAAGGATGCATAGAAGTCGTAGAAAATCAATAATCTATAATATTAGCATCTCATCATTCCCCAAATGTATATCAGTCCCAACTACATCCATGGAGACCCCTGAAATCAATCCTGCAATGTCACCATCGAAAGCGCCTGTGCATTCCCAGGCCAGATGTCCGTGAAGCGGAAGGCCTGGTTTCTGAAGCATGTGGCTTCCAAGCGAAGTCGAACTGATGAGGATGGTGTTACCCCCCCGAGCATGCACTGCCCACTTGCAAGCTCGCTGATTCTGAAGGGCAGTCAAAGCTACGATTGTGATACCTGCGATTGCCAGTGCACGCATGTCTGAATGTGCTCTACCACTTCGCTCCCGCTGAAGAATTTTGCTGCTCTGCCGTTTCGAGACATGCTGGAAAGGACATGTCAGGAGTCAGCTATATACAGGCATGTGTGTAACCCGGAGGGCGATGGATTTGCTGTTGTGCCACTACTTCGTTTGATTGTCCTACTAGCTGAGTGGACACCATGGTGCCTGCCTCGACCGCAGAGCTTTTGTGGCAGCTTCGGGAGGTCCGAGCACCCAAGGCCAGGCTTGACAGCGAATACTCCAATGTGTATGCCTGTATGCAGTGCTATAGTGTGAATTATGTTATATTAAGGGGAAATTCTGAGTTGGGCTAGGAGACCAGGGATGGCTATGTATTGGCCAATTCTGAACCACGACATTTACCTGGTCTTGTACCATGCCCATCTATCTACCTACATACGCAACTATTAGTATTGGTCTGGGCTCATGTATATATATATATATATAGATATATCTACCCTTCCATGCACAGGTGTGTTAATTTCACATAAACACACATGTTATATATATATATATATATGTATGTGATATATGTGTGTGTATGCATATATCGTACGCATACATATATGCACATACAGATAGGTAGACATTCATAAATAGCGATGGCAACAAGCTAAATTTTAACAGTTCCCAAAACCCTATATATACACCCTAAACCCTGCAAACCCTAAACCCAGGTTGGCACGACCCTACATGATCCAATTGCCTACCAGGTCTTGATGCTGGCCGTGCTGTTGCTCACCTTCGCTAGCAATCTCGAGACATTCCAGGAGGCACGGAAGCATGTTCTGCATCACAAGCATTACGCACGATGATGTCTCCCGGATGGTGTTTATATAGTATGCATGCCCTAAGACTTCGTTTGCAAGACGATCATGAAAAGAGTGTCTATGACAGGTCTATGGGTTCATCGAATTCTACGCGGGCCTTGGCAACAACTCACGTGTTGCGAAGTTATGTGGCTTAGCGACAGCATCCTTGGACATAATTTATCATCGCGGTCCCAGTGAGAATGCCAATTTTATGGATATTCTCACAGACTCTGGCCTGGCGTTCCCTAGTTGCACTGTTGCAGGTCGAACCCGAAAACGCATATGATTTACACTGTTCCTTCGGAGTCTCGATAGAACCCTGACAGTTGTAACTTCTGGCTGGGTCTTGCCGCTCCCATAAGACGCTGCAGGACGTACACATGGACAACTCGCATTCAAACACATAGTTCCGATTGTCCTGGCTCAACGAGTTGACCATAAAGTAAAATGATCGCTTTGGACCTAGTGATCCATAACTTAAACTTAGCCCTTGCTTAAGCACCCACCACATCCATAGCATAGCCCTTGCCTCATGCGCATACACAGGTATATATACACATGCATGCATACATATACATACATACATACTCGCTGTCAAAAGACATGTATAAACATCCACGTGCAGACGCACGTGCGCTTGCAAATGTACAACTACGTATGTGTTCATATGTATATATATATATACACACACATGTTTCTGTACTTGCACGCATGCATGTATGTACGCATGTATGTGTTATGCCTGTGTCTGCTTATGTTTGTATTTGTATCTATATATATAGCAGAATAAATATATGTATATATATATACACACATATCTATGTATATATATATATATGTATATTATAACTCCAACTAATTGTCGAGAACTCAACATACATCTGCATGTGTTCTGCATGTTGCCTTGCATGGTTATATAGCTAGACAGACTTAAGCATTGCAGTGGACAAGGGTTTCGGCCTGGTGTTTCCCCCAATTACGTATCATACGATAGAAGGCGAGTATACACAGCCCGAGCCGTTACAAGCATGATTCTTATGAGCACCTCTATAGGCCTGCTATGCCAACTGTTCAATATTATATAGTATGAGAAAATGATTACCAACGAGCGGTAGGAGCTTCCCAATTAATGGCTTATTTACTGACTAAACCGTTGCAAGTAGATTCTGCTCTCTTTCCATTCGAGATTGAAGTCTGACCTCGTGTTTTAATTCTATACCAGGCTCGCAGGCTTAGACGGGGCCATTAAGCCGAAGAAGTGTTTTGCTGATGTCTCAGAGTCTAGGTTCCAATATCACTAGGTCACTAGATCGACTCGAAAGGAGACTCCTTTGACTATGTGGTTGGTTTGCTAGGAAGCAACTGTATATAATACATTGTCGCCAATTCATCCCCCACTCCGGTAACTCAGGCTGGCACTGCTGACCATCATGAACGCCAAGGAGGACTGCCTGGTATGGATTGGGCAGAAATGCTCTTCCTTTACTGGGATCAACCGAGGAACCTCTGGGCGCAGCTGTATCTGTGGTTTGGGGAATGTAGCATACCAGAGTGTGCGGGAAGCCAACATGATGCTGAGTCGGATTCATGGCTGATTGGCTAGAAGCATGTAGCTGGATTTCTGTTGTACGAAACATACTCCTGAGCTGATACCACCAACTTTACTATGCATGGTTATTTGACTTGGAGAGTGTTTAGGTTTAGGATGCCAACCAAGATTCTAGTGCGGATGTTGAACAGCGCTCTTCGAAAAATCTGAAGCTCAGGACGTGCCTTCTGATTTATCTTTGCCACGCGAGGGGCCTAACCTGGGTCTTGGAACAACCACGTGGGAGCAACCTGGAATTCCACCATCGGTTCCGTGCGATGAGACACCACATGCCTGCTCGGTGCTTACATTGGCCATACCGTACCCTTCATAAGCCCCTAAATTCCCTACGGCTGATGGACAAAATCCTGCATGACCCTAAGGACTCTAAACTATGGGAACTATGGTATATTCCTCAAAAAGTCTAGTGCAAGATTTTGTCCATCAGCCGTAGCATATCTACAGCTTCGACTCCTGCTAGCTGTACCCGTATACCTATACATGTAGGCTAAGCTTAAGTTGAGTCTAGCCAGTGTTTTGCACGTTCGCTTTAATCTCTGATGCTGTGCAATGCTTGCAACCCGGCAATCAGGTTTGCCTCAGCGGAACAGAAGACATTGCCCAAAGCCGTCCCAGAATACCCTATGCCGTTATGCAAGAAACTTTTTATGCCCAACTGAATGCTAGAGTCTGGAGTCACGCAAAACCGATTCCCTTTGGTCTGGTAGCTTCGAGCCTCCGCGGCCCCCAACCATGCCAAGTACCACTTGGCCGAACCTGGGAGCTGGGACTTGATTTTGCGTCTGTGGGCGAGCCGGGCGGAGTCTCAAGTTAATCCCCAGCTTAAGTTTGTTTGCGTACAGTTGTTCCACAACCTGTAGAAGTCACCTGACCAGTAGAGAGGGATAGAGGGAGAGAGGGACAAAGAGAGATGGGGATGGAATGACAAAGAGACAGGGCAGCAGAGCGAGATATACATGTGTGTACATGTATATGCATAAAATATATAATGTAGGATCCTTATAATATAAGAGATAGAAAGATACAGAGAGAAAGATAAATGTATACATTATATATATATATATATATATATGTATATATAATGTACTAATGGTGCTCACTTACAGTAGAAGCCAGAAAGTTGGAACATGGCTTTAGGAGGATTAGTGCTAGGATCCCTTATACTTTACCTTAAGGGCACGAGGATAATGATGTTCCAACTTTCTGGCTTCTATTGTAGTTATGTATGTATATCTGAATGTGTACAGATATAAAACTATATATATATATATAGTTAGATGGCATATATATGTATACATATAAGTGTAGTATAAATATATATATATATATATATATACACATGTATGTGTTTGTGTTTCTATATGTGTTTGTATAGAAAAATAGATAGTTAGATCTATAGCTAGGTAGAGCACAACAGATACAGGACAGAACGTGAAAGGGATGGAACACGAACAACATAGATGATTTATAGGCTCTGCAGATACAACGACAAAGTTTCAGAAGACAGTTCGAAAGATGCAGTGATGTAGAGACATGTCGGCTTTGATGTGATTCCT